AAAGCATCATGAGCCGGCATCCCGCAGGTAATCGCCAATAAGGGCGAAGTCTAAATTCTCGTGGGTGGTGAGACCTAACAATAAGCAACGTGGTGGTCGTTCGCAAAGCGTGCCTCGGCGCACGAAAAGGGAAGAATCGCGTCCAATTCTCTCTTACCGTGCCTGCCAGATTGACGCCAAGTTTAAAGGAATGCCCGCCCGACGGTGGCTTGCCTCCTAGATGTAGTAGATGTAGATTCTGCCGTAGACACTCTTGTCCACGAGCACGTTGAGATGGGAAGGTTGCTTGTTATTGCAGAAGCGGGTCTGCTACAGGTCTGAGGTGAGGCGGATTGCCCTCAACCTGGGGGCACGCAGATAGCTAAGTCCCGATGGGGTACGTCCTAAGAGGGTATACCTCCTGACGTCCCCCATCTTAATCTAGACCGACTGTGTACCCTATCTGTGCCATACAGCACCACTCCTTAACAGGGGGGAGACGGTTGCCCACGGGCAGCCCGACAAATGCAGACCATCAAAAGCGGACGAGGCGCGTTGAGCATGTTGGGGACGACAATTTGGTCGCCCATGGGCCGCCCATAGCAGGGGAATTCCTGTGAAGTGTTGGCAGCCCACCGTTGGGAGCCCACATGGTGAGCATTCAGGGAATGTTTCCCATGAGCATGGCCTTGGACGGCCCATCTAGGGCGAAAGTTGCTGCCAATCGTAGGCTTACAATGAGCGGCCCATGTATTCTGGGTGATTCTCATTGTGGGTGGCCCATGCATGGAACGATTTATGCGTTGGGGACAGAGAACGACCTGGCAGGGTTATGGGGGAAGTAGGAAGTTTGACACAGGAGGACTCATCTGCAATGAAGGGAGGACGATGGCTCACGCACGCCAGACCCGCCCTTCTACAAACCATCTATTCAAATCGAACTCATCCGACCAACCAAGATGGTGTCCTCCGAAAACATCGATAGCCCAACAGAAAAAAGTCCATCGTCCTAAACCCATCGAATGTCGGAAAGTCTTGGCCCTGTATCCACGAAGTTTCAATATGGTATCCTTATATAAATGGATAATGGGACTAACAACATATTCGCCTGATTGAGAGCGAAGTATCTGATTGAGAGCGAGAGCCAAAAAAATTGAAATTTCGGGTCCAGACGCCTCTTGCCATTTCTTGGCAAGTAGGGGACGGGCTATTCCAAGAAGCGGTGCAAATTGAAGGTCTCATCAGCAGCTTCGCGAGCATATGCGTGTCATCGTCATCGGATGCTGCAGCGAGGAGCTAGACAAGTTGCTAGATTTGCCCAGATTGGCTATTTCTGCTCAAACTGTTTCAGGGCGGTATCGCGTCGGGCGGTGGGCTCTGCTGTAGCTTCTGCTCCCCGCTGTAGCTCCACAACGAGAGACTCCCACAGGATGACCAGGGTAGCGGCTTGAAGCTACGGGCTAGCCCTTCAATTCAAGCTACACAGCAAGCTCCACCTCTCAGTGGTAGTCCGGCTACAGCGTATCGCGCAATCTCGCTCTCAATCAGATGCTACGCTCTCAATCAGGCGAATATGTTGTTGACTACGTTTAGACTATATATATAAAGTTTTTTACGGAATATTGTGGTCAATACTGCCGTGGAGGAATGAATGTATGTCCCCCACCATCCAGATAATCAAACTGCCTATCCATGCCAAACCCTTCTAGAATACGCAAAGAAAGCACGACTCCTCCTGAGTGAGGATAAAATCCCCAACGCGTTCGTACACATCATCAGTGGAAATCATCGGTAGTTAGTTGCCGTTTTGCCACGTGTGTGTATGGAGGAGTATCCATCAGAATCAGTCCCACTGCTGCGAAATCCCAGGACGAGAGCTCACGCACTGTCAAAATATGACCTCTCTCTGCAGGTAAAGCGCGAAAGATGCGAATGGCGTGCACAATTTGGACAGCATGACTGAAAACAACGTACAAACAATGCCCAATGTCAGCCTCCTCCCATCACCCGTGGACGGGGCAATGCGAAATGCACAACATTAAACATTCAATCCTACACGCTTTCGGAATGGATGCATACCAAGACCTCCGTCTTCAGAATACTATCAATCGGTCAGTGGAAATCGTCATGGTACTTGCGGCAAGGGTTAAGTAAGACAAGCAGGGATACATCAGGTTCACTACTTACTGTCAATTCCCAGAACATACACACACATGCATTAGCAAACTATGGGCTCCGCAGGTAGTACGTGACAGTTCCCGATGCGACAACAATAGATGTTGTTGTTGTTGTCTTCACATTAAACCGTATGTCAGTTGCTAAATGCCAAAATCTAGCAAAAGACTCTCAGCCCGTGGTCACGAAAGTGCTAGAGCCATCTGAGGATCTAAAGAGCACGCACACATATGACGAGAAAAAGGTATCCAAGAGCCCGAAGAGGTACACCTAAAAATATCTGCAGCACCGTATGCGTGCCCAAAAACTGAACTGCACGTCCGTCCCACCGTTCGACTACAGTAGCATCACCCCCTCCCTGTCCCACTCTATACCAAAACGGAAGATTGCCGACTACAGCATACTGCTGTCTGAAGTGCTGTCTGTACAAAAACACCATGGTAGGCATGGAACAAGCAGCTGGCGGGGCACAAAGCTGCTGTCTGAAGTGCTGTCAGAATGTGTCTGCGGCCGTACAGTGAAAAAGAACAACCAACCAAAGCCATCATAGCAGCAATTGACAATCACCCGAATCTCTCCCGATCGTCTGTGTTAGGCACTGCAGTGAAAAATATCGACACTAGCTAAGAATCGTTCCACATTGAAGGGGTCTTCCACGATCAGGCACATAACCAAGGCACCCGGGTTAGCCACGCCATCTCTGACGGGTCTCTCTACAAAACCAGTGACGACGTCATCACATAGAACCAACACCGAAAATCAGGAAAAAAACGAGAAAAATTGACAACACAGATCAGATATAAATGTTTGTCCGTGCGCCACGGGTCGATGTCGCCCGCATGCTCCGGTGCCACTGCTCCATCCGGCGCCGCTGTAGTCAGCCCGAGCATAACGCCACTCGACCTGCTCCGTCCGTACACGCTCTCGTTGCTGTCCTTCGCAGTCCGTTCCTCGCTTTCTCCCTCATTGCACTCAAGGTTCTTGGTCTAAAAAAAATAAAAATTCTCGCGCCGAGGGGTCAACCAGCCCAGTTCAGCTCGTCGCCACCTTCTCCCTCCTCCTTTGATGGCGAAGCCAGGTTACTGAGGCAATACAGCTCCCTCTAGCAAACCTAGAGCCGTTTAGTGCCCGTCCACCTTTCTGATGTTGTCTGCCTCCGCGCACAAAAATGAGATGGGCATCACTGCCTACGCCGACGGCCAGAAAGGCCCGTGCATCTACATTTTCCCGCCTGACCCCATCAGTGCCGACCCAACTCCACCACCACACGCAAGCCTCGCGGCGGATGCAGCAGCAAGGAGGTTTCGGTCATCCCTTAAGGGTGAGTCTAGCCCTGCTCGCCAGAAAGACCCCCCCCTTCACTACAACCCATGTCTAAGCAAAAGCTTGTCGAGGAGCGGGGGGAAGAAGGGAGAGTCAGATGGAATAAGAACAAAACAATACGACAAATAAATATATATATATATACTTAGCTATATACTTCCGACAATTAATTGCAGATGTACCTCAGAAAACGTTCACTTACTTAAATGTCTTATACTCTACATGAATATTAAACCAATACGAAGTGCAACAACATATGTAGGACTTATTTCTACTGTCATTTACATCGTAAAAATATCTCCTCTTCAACTTGAAATAAAACCAATGACAATCCTGATGGTATCCTATATGCGTTCGTAAGCTTGCTAAAATACTACTGCGTTGATGTCCGCTTGTAAAAGCTGAAATCCAACAAATGCTTTGATCCATGCTACATCTCCGTGTTGGAAAAGCCCTTTCATCTCCGTTCATGATAACATCTTACCCTATTCTACGCAAATCTGTCACATCTACTCTCAAACAAAATATTCTGATCCCAGCCTCGTGCCGTCACACCGATCATCGGCAATCAATGCTGTTTACTCCACCGGTGGAGTAACCTCTTATTAACATGCTCCACCAGGCAGATTTCCACCCGCAGAGCTCCAATCGACCTCAAACCAATTGCATCGTGTAGCTATGTACTACAGCAGCTTTCTGCAATGCTACTACCTCTGTCCGACAATATAAGCAAGGTTTGGAAATCCGGGAATATAAGCAAGCTTTCTCGATGAAGGTGTTTCAAGGTGTTTTGGACACCGTTTCCTTCCTATTTTTTTGCGTCAAGCTCGGATATGATAAGCGGCCAAGAAAAAACCAACATAAGAGGGGATGATAAGGTTTCATCCCCTCCCCGGAGAAACATTGATTTCCCTGCCATAGCGCTCAGTAGGGAAAAAGGGGTCCCATTTTTTCTCTCGTTTGCGGCAATGAATAGTGCTTTTTTCCTCGTTTTTTTTTCTTTGTATTTTTGGGTACTTGAACAACCTGTACAATCACGTTGCGAAGTATCTTCGATAGTTCTTTGGTGCTGACCGGGACCAAAGTTCCAGAGTGGCAAAAATCAGCAACTTCGAGGGGCCAAAATGAAGGGAAGGCGTTGAAAAAAAAAAAAAAAAAAGCGTTTTTCCGAAAAAAAAAGGTGTTTGAACCCAGGATCGAACTCACGGCCACTGAACAGCTCGCTTTCGCGGTGTATTTTGCCTTACGACCAAACCTTGCTTATATTCTCGGACAGAGGTAGTATTTGGAAGCTCCACCAGGCAGATTTCCACCCGCAGAGCTCCAATCGACCTCAAACCAATTGCTGCATCGTGTAGCTATGTACTACATACAGCTTTCTGCAATAATGCTATTTATTTGGAAGCTAAATCGGACCGGTGGCTGCAGAGATATGATGTTACCGGGGAGCTCCCCAGCATGTCAGGAAGCAGTAATCGTCTCTAACCTCCGTCGAAACAGCTCCCATTGGCCTCAAACCTTTCTCGTCGTGTCCGCACGGTCCGTACCATTCTTCCCAAGCTTTGGGACACGGCCGAAGGGGTTCCGCAGCATCTAGGGGGGGGGGGCGTACTCTTATGTTTTGCATGCCTTAGCGGTTAGAACATTAGCCACGCGCCCTTGAGAGGACGGGGCATTGTTCCCACAGGACCGATCACCGATGGCCAATCGTTCCTTTCTACTTTGCCAAAGGTGGCTCAAATCGTCTTCCCTAGTCTGTCTATCAAATCGATATCCCTTCCCGCCTTTTCAAACCACATCCTACTCCCAAGTACCGCTACGGTCCTTTCCCCTCTATTCCATACCTCAAACATCTCCCTGTACGTCCCGTCTATTTTTCCCAGCTCAGTCATATGCACTTCCCTCTCCTTCTTATACCTATGACATTCCGCGACTACATGAACACGGTCTTGGCGTTCGAAGCCGCAATCACATTTGAACTTGTCATCTTCGTCGTCTACAGGGGGGGTAAATGTTAATTGTCCCGGTATACCTCCCGTCACATAGCTGAACCACACCTACCTCCGCCCGCACCGTATTGGCACGCTCACAGCTATCATTTACACCATCGGACACCCCGATCGGACCAGTTGGTGCAGAGAAACGCCCACCCACGCGGACTCAATGGCTCAACGGTCCGGTGGAGCAGATTAAGCCTATCTGCTCCAGGCCAAACTCTATTTACAGGGCGCTGTATGTCTTACGAAGGCTTTCATTACGTTGGCACGGCTCACAGCAATCATACAAGCCATCGGGCACCCCAATCGGACCGGTGGATGCAGAGAAACGCTCACCCGCGGGGGCTTAGTTTCTCGAGGGCCTGCTGCTCCACCAAGCCAACCTCTATCTACAGGGCTCTGGTTGTCTTACAAAGACCTGTGGCATAGTAGGGGCACTCCCTGGATACGGGTAAGTTTTCTCAAACGGGCACTCTTCCGGGCAAACGCCCCCACGACGGGCACCCCCCCCGGCTAGCGGGCGGGCATCCCACCTCCATTGTGGGCACTCTCCTATTCTTTCGGGCGCCTCTTGGCGCCGTGCTCGGACGGCACCGTGCTCTAGGGGATGATGTAGTTCCGCTGTATTTCCTGGACAGATACACTGTATTCCCTGGGCAGATATCCTGCATTCCCTCGTCAGATACACCGTACTCCCTCGTTCGTTTCACTGAAATCCTTCATCAAATACTCTGTAATCCCTGGTCAAGATCACTGTATTCCTACTTCAGATACGCCGCATTCCCTCGCTCGTTTTCACCGGATTCCTTTATCAGGTTCACTGTATTCCCTCCTCAGATATGCTGTTCTCCGTGGAATGCAGTGAATCTGACGAGGGAATACAGTGTATTTGATGAGGGAATACTGTGAATCTGCTCACCGAAGACAATGTGTCTGATCAGGGAATGCAGTGAATCGGACGCGAGGGTACAGTGAATCTGACGGGGAAATGGTTAAGAACCACGTATCTGGTCCACCGACCTTCGAGCCATGTGTCCCTGTGGGTGGGCGTTTCTCACCACCCAATCGGGGTGCGCGATGGCTGGTAGGACAATGCAAGTCTTAGCAGGACAAATGATGTCATGTGGATGGAGTCTGGTCTGGTGGAGCAGTTAAGCTCTACCGGCCCTCGAGCTGCTTAGCCCCCGTGGTTGGGCGTTTCTCTGAATCCACTGGTCCGATCGGCATGCCTGATGGCCTGTATGATTGCTGTGGGACGTGCCAACACAAGAAATATCGTCGTAGAGTTAACAACACCCTTAACATAGAGTTTGGCCTGGTGGAGCAGATTAGCTTATCTGCTCCACCAGCCGTTGAGCCACTGAGCCCCCGTGGGTGGGCGTCTTCCCTGTTCACCCACTAGTCCGATCGGGGTGTGCGATGGCTTGAATGATAGCTGTGAGCCGTGACGACACAGTGCAAGCCTTTGCAGGTCTAACATCACCCTTTGCATGGAGTTTGGCCTCATCGAGCAGTTAAGCTGATGTGCTCCATCGCCCCTCGAGTCACTGAGCATCCGTGGGTGGGCGTTTCCCTGTACCACTGGTCCGATTGGCGTGCATACTGGCTTGAATGATAGCTGTGAGCCGTGCCAACACAGTGCGAGCAGAGGTAGACGTGGTTCCGCTATGCGGCGGGAGATATACCGGGAATATTGACATTTACCTCCCCCCCCTCCCCCCCCGCCCCCCCCGGTGTTCGCCATCGGGGTTGGGTTTTCGTCGCTTGGCAACGACGTTGTAAAACAAGCCAATTCACTTCGTGAACTCGGCAACCAGGTTACCCTTTTTTTTTTTTACCTCCGTTTTTTTTTTTGGCGGTAACCATAATGGTGGTCGAGTAGATCATGTTGTGCGGGGTGGAGAACCCTCACTCCGCGCAAGGGGGATGATCGCACCACGTTGTGTTAAAATGGTCAAGCACCCTCGAGGCAATTTCACAGTGCTTACAACTGACTCTGGAAGTGAAAGCACAAGAAAATTAATTCATTCATACGCAGCTGTCATCCGTACGCAAGGAAGTAAGCACAAGATG